TGTATAAAAATAATAAATCTTTGGGAAAAAAAAAATTTCCTGCAAAGGTCTAATGGGACCTAATCTGCTAAACGCCGAGTCAGCTCAGTGTCCGTGCTTGGGTTTAAATTGAAACCTCACAAGTGGAGAGGCAAGATGGGAACGGGCATGTCTGGGGAGGTGTATGCCTCCCTCGCAAAGGGCACACAAGGCCCTGATGACCCAGGCTTTGGAGGTGCCCTCTGCCCTGGGCTGGGGTTCGGGAAAAACTGAGAGGACTTGGCAAGACCACGAGAAACTGGGAATGTGGGGTTCTGGGATGGACAGGTGAGCTGAGCTACACACACGCGAGGCTGCCTGAACCACCCACTCACCCACTCACCCACTCACCCACCCACTCTTGAGCAAGGAGCCCTGGGGAATGGCTCTGCAACACCTGAGCATAGGTGGAGAAAACACGGAAGAAGAATCTTCCTCTCCACCTTCCTCCACTATTTCTCCGATAATCCATATTTCAGGTGCTGGGCACCCCCTCCCTGGGTGTTCTCCTTCAGAGCCCTGCCTAGGTCTGGAGGGTTCTCAGGTCACACTTTCAAAATGACCGGTTTCCACCTTGAGCCTGAGGCGCCAGCCCTGCGGTCCTTGGCTGGGGGACATGCCGGCAGCTCTGCAGCGGTGCAGGTCACTGGCCAAGTTCCAGGCATGAATCCGGCCTCCACACCTGGGTTCTGGGCCACCCGGGAGCTCAGCTGGTGGTTGTGATCTGTGAAGGCGCCTGGCGTCTCAGTGTCTTTGGAGGGGGTGTGTGTGTATGTGTCCTTGCCTGCACAAGCATGTGTGCCCATCAGCATCTCTGCCAGGAGAGCTGTCACCTTCTGTCACCAAGCACCCCTAGGCCAATAGGTCACACACAGGCTCATACTGTGTTTGTTATGAGTGTGTGTGTGTGTGTGTCAAGGGAATACAGAAGCACCTGAGCAGAGATCCACCCAAGTGCACACAGAGCTTCCACTTCAATTATGTCACACTAAAGAAAATTTTAATTTCAAATGATTTCACGGTACAGCTCAAGGTCCCAGACACGAGTAAGGGAAATGGAAGATAACCTAACAGGCAGATAACTTACTGATTAGTTCTCATCAGGAGAGAAGCTTCAGCCCTAAAAGCTCTCCCATATTTATAACCCTTACCCTGGGTGAAAGAGACCATCAGGGGGTTGAATATTTTGCTTAATAGCCTTAAAGTGTAAACTAGCACCTTCTCCTGGGGTACCCACTAGGAATAAAAGACTAATTTATAAAGCTAATACCTGGCATGAGATTGTTTCTAGAGCTCTTCTTTTAGATCAAGCCTATACAGCTCTGAACCCACTTATAAGTTTATGGCTTTACAGAGCTATGTCCCTTGTTCAAAGTGACTCACAGTGTGGCCTTTTGGAATGTTCTGGGTTCCCAGTGATGGGAGGAGATCACAGAGGGCTCCCAGTTTGGGCTCATGAGACCAAGGTCAACCCAGAGGAAACTGCTCCCTGGCACAGACGAGCCACGAACTCTGACCAAAGGCCTTGCAAACAAAGGCCCTGCTCATAATGGGATCCAGATGCAGGCGTGGGGCTGGCTCTTGGTGGGTGCATGGCCAAGGAAAGCTCGGTGGAGCACAGTTGGCTGGGGCCGGACAGGCCAGGGCTGGGGCTAGCCTCTCCCTGCAGGGCCAATTGCTCAATAGATGCAGGGGGTGTGTGAAACCAGGTTGAGATAAGGTGGCGCTTCAGCACTGAGCCTCAGAGAAATCAGCCCGTGAACAAGAGAGCAACGCAAACAAGCAAAAAGATCTCCTTTTGGTCAGTCCTGCAGTGAACGTTCAGCAAAGCTACAAGCTCTAAAATGCTCCCATTTAAGGGGGGATCCCCATTACGATCTGCAGCCTCTTCCCTTTAGTTCTGAATAACTGCGAATGTCTCCTTCCCCTTGGGCACCCCCAACATTTTTTTCCTGCCGTTCCAGTGGATTAACTTCATTAACGTTCTTAACTTCATTAAATTACTTCATTGTTAAATCCAAGTCCCTTAAGCCTATGTCAAAATTTTCCGTTGTCAGATCTCATTCACCTGATCCTTATTTTCCGACCCAGGCCTTCCACCACCCTCTTCCCCAGTGCGGCTATCTATCGTGTCCCCCATCTTCCTGGATTTATTCCAATCTCCATGGTTTCTGGGTGCCCCCAGTCCCCACTCCCCTCCCCCCGCCCCCACACCTCTCCTTTAAGAGCTACTTCAAGATCCCTTCAATGTATTCAATAGCTCTTGCTCTGGAAGCCTCCCTGAGCGGCCCATCTGGCGAAGTCTTGGGTTGACTCTGGATTTCCTGAGCTGGTTTTGCTCCTCAGGGATTCCTCAGAGTCTCAACGAGGGTCTGCTGGGTGATCTAACATTTGCCATCACAAAGCATCAGAATCGCACGAGATGCAGTTGGTTAGCGCCTTTTAATCTGAGAGACAGGACCTGCCTCATGATTAGAGATGGTGCCTTCCCTGGGCCCCCTCAGCACATCCGCATGTAGGCGCACAGTAGGACCAGAGAATGTGTGACGAACTGCACTGAATTAAAACACACCCCCACCCCCCAAACCACTAGGGAGCAACTTGAAGTGGTCTCCACCAGTTGAAGAATCAGACGGAGGTGGTCAGGTTATTCCGAAAAAGTAGATTACTGGTCATTTTTACACCCTAAATTTTTATGCCCCCGCCTCCCCAGATTTTTGGTCCCAGTAATAGTCTTAAGTGTTTCAAATTAAGTCTACACAGGAATAATCTGAACAGCCTGGAGCAGATACAAAAAAATCTACACATTTTAACCACCAACTATCCTTTGCCCAAACGGCCCGTCTGTTTGTTTTCCCTGAGAGCAGAGCTTAATATTTGGTCTTGCTTTCGGTTTGCTGGTCATGTTGTTAGTGGAAATACCCCAGCAACAATTTGCTGCTTGCTCCAAAAACTAGCTGGCGCCAGTGCAGAATAGAAGAAGGAAATGCAGGGACTTCCAGGGCGAGGCAAAGAGGATTACCCTTCAGAGGGGACGCTGCCAAGGAAACCCTTCTCCCCCGGCAGTGTTTCTCAGAGTGGGCCCCTGGCACCTGCACGAGTCGCCTCCAGTCCCAAAGTGAACCTCAGGGTGTGCGTGTGTCTCTGTGTGTGCATGTGTGTATATATGTGTGCATGCTTGTGTGTGTGCACGCTTGCGTGCATGTGTAGGGTGGCAAGCTTCTCTAGGGGTGCTCCTCTGGGGATTCTGGAGCAGTGGGTGTGGGGCAGGACTTTGGGGAGACCTGTATTCTTAAGCTCTCCAGGTGGTTCTCAGGCACAGAAAGCTTGCACGCCAGTGCCGGCTGATAGTTAACCACACAATCGACCTTCTGGTTGGAAGGGGATACTCATGCAGAGCTGAGAATTAAACTAAAAGCACAGGCTTTGTTTTCTAAAAAACACACAATCAGGCCTGCCTCACAGAACACTGAAAAGCAAGCCGCCCCCACCCTGGGCCACACCACCAACCAGGAGACAGTCCCCTCCTGAGACACCAGCTACTTTTCCAGAACGCAGCTCTCCAGCACACTGTCCCCGCACCCCTAGACAGAGACAGGGCTGGAACGAGCCATCTGTCCTGTTTTAAACAGAGAGGGGTGTGTGAGTGTTCTCCCCTTTGAGAGCGAGCAGCCCCAGGGTAGACCATGGTCCCAGGTGATATGGGGGAGGCCGGGGAGCAGCTCCTGATTCTCTACCCGGGGTCGCTCAGACACAGACATTCTCTCAAGTTGCAGTGGAAAACACCCTTCTCAGATGAGCGATGGACGATCTAAAAGCCTCCGCCCACTGCCTCTCCCCTGCAGTGAAAGCAAGTGGGAAAACCTGCTTGATCGGTGTGGCCTGGAGGTGGTGCCCCCACCGCTCTGCTCATGACCACTGTGGACTGTCCTCATGCGGGTGCCCGCACCCTGTGCAGAGACACCTGGGTGCAGCCGAGGCCAAGGTGGGAACAGGCCTCGCAACCTGTTTAGCGATGAAGCGTCATGTCAGACAGAGACGTTGGCTTTCATGCAGACTGTGCCCTTGAAGCCCCAGGGGCCTGATCAGGCGAGGGGACACACACCACGAGGATCCGAAGGGCACTCACCAGCAGGAAGAAGGGGTTCCCCTGCTCAGATGTGGGGCAACAGCCACTTCAGGGTAAAGAGAGGGGGTACTGTCCCACCCAGAGGGAGGGCCTCTGAAGGAAATGGGGGTGCAGAGGCCAAGGGGGACCCCCTCTCATGAGGTGGGAGACGCCAGTCCTGGGATTCTGGGCAAACAAGCCTCTGGAACACATGTGCAGAGGGCTTCTCCTGCCTGTCCCAAGCGGGGATCCCCGCACAGTTCCTGTCTGTTGGGAGATGGCGGGACAGGACAACATGGGATGCTTCAGAACCCAAATCTGCCTCCGTGGTTCTTCACATTTTGCTCTGTGTATGCAGCGCCTCTTAGAGTCGTAAAGTCTCATACACGTCACCATGCTCAATTTTTAATAAACTTGCAACCCTGAATCTGGGAGGGAAAACGCCAACAACTGGGCCCAACCTGTCCTTCCTCCCACATACACAGACTCGGTTCTGTCCAGGCGAGGGGCCTCCCTGCCTGCTCCGGGAGCCTTGCGAGCTCCAGCCAAGCCGATGCAGCAAAGCAAATTCCTCCTGCTCTCCACCTGCCCTCGATCCTCTGCCTGTCTGGACCCTGCGCCCCCACGAGCACCTAACCCCCCTGCTACCTCTGCTCTTCACCCCAAGCCTGGGGACCCCTCCCAACGCCTCGGCCAAGAACCTTACTGGGTTCTATTCTCACTTGGCTCTAAGTGCCATTCAGGGCTCACGTGTCCTGATTTCCAACTCAGCCACGAAGGTGCGAGAACAGCCACCACGCCACCCCCCCCCACATCCCCACAGTGACGAGGGCTGCACAGTCGGCGCGTCCCAGCCGCCCGCTGACGGTCCTACCTGTAATATCTGGACTGCAAGTAGGTGGAACACACGGCCTTGGACACGTGGCTGGCGGACCCGAAGTCGATGACCTTGACGCGGTAGGGCTGCCGAGAGGGGTCCACCAGCATGATGTTTTCCGGCTTGAGGTCAGCGTGGATGAGCCCCAGGCTCTTGAGTTTCATCAGGGCCGTGGCGACCTGCTGGAGGACGGGGCGAATGTACTTGAGGGGCAAGGGGCTGAACTTGTTCTGCTTCAGGAAGTCGTAGAGGTTCTGCTCCAGCATCTCGAACACCAAGCACGTGTGGTTCTTGTGCTGGAAGCACTCGTAGGCCCGCACGAAGTTGTAGTCGTCGGCGCTCTCCGTGCTCAGCCGGGCCAGGATGCTCACCTCGATCTGACCTTGGCGGGCGTAGGACGGGTGGTTCTTCAGGATCTTGATGGCCACGATTTCGTTGGTGCCCCGCTTCCAGCACTTGACCACCTGCCCAAACGTCCCTCGGCCCAGGAACTCGAGGACCTCGTACGTGTTGGTCATGGAGCACAGCACCTCGTGCTGCACCAGCTGGTAGTCGCCCTCGCTGTTGGAGCCGCTGTTTTTGGAGGTGGCCGTGGAGGTGGTGGCAGTGGCGACCGTGGCCCCGCTGGCATTGTTCTGGATCATGGGTGGGTGCTCTTCGATGATCTGCACGCTGCTCGTGTTCTCGATCTCCTCACTCTTGCGCTTGAGTCCGCATTTTTGGTAGGTGTCCAGGAGGCTCACAGTGCTGCGACGCATCAGGTTGTGTGGTCCGCCCAGGGCCTGCCCGGCGACGGAGGTGCTGCTGGCTGACGTGACGACGACGTGCCCGGTGCTGCCTGGGAAGATGATGGTCTGCTCGTAAGGTAGGCTCGGGTTCGGAAGCGGCAAGGAGGTGCTGACGGTTGTGGTGGCTGGCTGAGGTGGCGGGACGTTCTTGCTCTGGCTGTAGGCTTTGCCGTGGGAGCCGTACCCAGTCATGTCCCAGTTGGAACTCGGCTCTACTTTCAGTTTCTTCACACTACAGAAGGCACTTGATTGAAGGGTGTGAGGGGAGAAAACTTGCACATGCGAGGCCATACCTAGGAGCAAAGGGAAGGGAAAAGGAAATGTTTTAGTTGCCGTGGCCTGCACAAACCCAACAGGACCCGCGGCACTGCTGGTCAGTGGCGTGGGTGGCTCCGAGTGTTTTCCTCCTGCTCCCGGGCAAGTCGGGAACATGAGTCCAGCCCACCCAGTGGTGCCCTCTGGTCACTAGGGGTGGGCGCGGTGACCCATCAGCCTCCAGGAAAGGGTGGGATGCTTGCTGAGGTAAGCTGGGTTACCGTTAAGATTTTTTTTTTTTAAGATTTATTTATTTATTTATACAAGCACTGGGTACAGTCAGAAGCGCGGGAGGGTGAGAGAATTCACCAGAGCCAGAGAGGGGAGCAGAACAGGCAGACTGATGAAGTACACTGCTGAGGGGAGCAGTGTATTCATTTATTTTGCTGCTAAATTCACACATCAATCAATTTACGTTGGAAGAACCGTTACTTCATACCACCATTTAGATAACCCCAGAAATCTGTAAGACCCCAGCTCTGGATTAATTGTATCACCTATAACCATGCGGATTCTGGAAACAAAGAAAAAATCATAGAAAATGTAGTAAGGAAACATGGAAGACCAGGATGAGTCCTTAAGGGTGACCCCCCACTCCCATCTTCTCAACAGCAGCTAGGAAACATTTCTTTCTGAACCTCAAGCCAAGTGGGGTTCTGGGGGCACCTCTGGTGCGCAGCCAGCCTAAGGATCATGCCTCTGGCTCCAGGATCAGATTCCTGAGAGGGCTTGTTTATCATTTTCCCTTTCATCCCATCAGACATCACACTGGTCCACCCTCTCGCTCAGCAGATGACCCACCTTCCTGGCCACACGTCTGAGGTCAGCAGCCTGGCTCCCCACCCCAGGCTCTTTCTTGCAAAGCATTCCAGAGCTGACACCAACCTGAATCCTCTGGTCTCTGCAGTCTCAGAGGAAGAGGCAGCTCTCCTTTCGACTAAAGGCTCCTCCATTCTCTTGAGCCCTCCTCTTCCATCTCCTCCTCCTCCTCTCTTACAATTTCCAATTTCTCCCTGATAATTGGATCCAAGTCTTTAGTAGATACTTAATGTATTTTTACCAAGTGAATCAATGACAATCTTTCCCTTCTGCCTCTATGCATGTTCGCATACCAACTCCCAATTTCAAAGGCAAGGGAGCAACAGCCATATTCTTCCCTTTTAATCTCTCCTTTTTCTCACCTCCATGGCCCTCTCGAACCTATAATCAGTGGCTTAAACTCTTATTCCTTTTCTTCAAGGTCACTCCTTAATCCCCCCTCCTCCCCCCCCCAACACTGTAGGACTGTGTTCTTTAAAGGCAATTGCCTAATCCAATGGCCTCTTTGCAGCTCCTATTCTCCTTCACGGCTCTGCAACATCTGATCCTGCTGACCACAGCTTCCTTCTTGGAGCTCTTATCTGTGCTACTGTCAATCTGCAACCTCCTCCTCTAGTGTTTGACTGCACATTCTGTGCTTGGGAGGTTCCTCTTCCTCTTCCTCCTTTAAAATGTTGGAATTTCCAGCATTCTGTCTCCATTCTTTCTGGAAGATATCATCCATTCCAACAGCGTAAGTTGTTGTGTCTATGCAGGTGACTCAATGCCCACGTGTTTACCACAGGTCAGGTTCTCCCTGTACCTTCCGGTAATACACTTCTGCCTCTGGCTACATCAGGGACTGGCTTCCAAAGCTGAACTGAAAATCGAGCCATCTCACCCTCCATCCTTAACATCCTCATTTCATAAAATATTCTCCTAGTCACTTGGCTGCAAAACTGTGGATTTATATGTTGATAATTCTTCTTTGCTTCCATGGACAAGAAGGTGCTAAGTTTTATTAATTTCTCTTTCCTTTAAAATGTCTCTTGCATCCATCGCTTTCTGTTCTTGCTGCCATTTCCAGAGCTAAAGCATCTATCATTATTTCCAGTAGGATGAAATCAAATGCAAGTAGACATCTGGACTACCTGAGCTCTCTTCCTCTAATGTGCCCGTATTTGGCCACCAGATTAATCTTCCCAGAGCATTTCCAAGGATGTCACCCCTTTGTCCAAAAGCTTCCAATGACTGCTCAGTGTCTAGAAGAGAACGTTAAGACTCTAACTTAACACCTTCACATTTTAATTTCAATTACCTTGTTGGCTTTATCGCCATCACCCTGCTTGAAACTTTATCTCGAATTAAGCTGTTCTAGTCACTGTCTCTAGACTATCTTCCATACCTCCTAGCTCTGCACTCTTACACCATTCCACCTTTCTTTCAACTTATCCAAAGGAGAGGCCATCGAGGTCCCTCCTCTTTTCAGACCATTCCAACCCACAGAGATCATTCCCAACTCTGTTCCTATGGCATTTATCACATATACCACCCATGTGGCCACAAACTGCATTTCTGCCTTGCAAAATCTCATCTCGTTGAACTGAATTGTTATTTTCGAGCTGTTTAACTTCTTACACGTTTCTGTAATCAGGCTATATTCTGGGGGCAAGGGCTACAGTTTATACCACATACTAAATTTTAGGTTGAGTTTCCTATATGCCAGGTAGGCACTCAGTGGAATAAAGCACCCTGGCCAGGCCTCCAGGAGAGTTCAGTCCTCTGGATTGAGAACAATGGAACTGGGCCTCACTTTGGAGAAGAAAGAAAAACCTGCCGACACTTTTCCACCCAAACCAAGACCTTTGAAAAACCAAGGTAGGAGCCAGGCAGCTCCTGTCCTAGGGATCAGCAGCCTTATTCTGGCTGTCCTTCAGGCTGGATGTGCTGATTTCCCAGGGTAACCCCAACCGAAGATACCACACCTGCTCTGAACCCCACCCTCATCCTGGTCCCGATCCTGCATCTGACAGAAGTTTCCTTTTTGTTTGAATCCTGAACTCCAGTCTCTACCTGGGTATTATAACAACACATCTGTATATATTCTTCTACCTGCAAGAGTGTTTTGCTTATTCAGAACCCACACTTTACTTGTTTCTTCCGATGGCTCTTTTTGTTCAAGTCAACCTCCCCCTAATTTTCTAACAGCACAGAAAATAGTTACTCTATAATTTATTAGTATTAAATATTCACATTTTTCTAGATGTTGTAACACTACGGAATTGACCAACGCCTTGGCTTTCAGTAACTTATCCACTGCAAAGGCAAACCACGTAAGCATTGCCTTTATTCTTTGGTATCTAGCTTGTGCTTTGCCCCTTGACCCTCAAGCATTTGGAGTTGGGGTGGGTGGGTGGGTGAGGGGTGGGTGAGCAGAAATATGCTGTTACATAAAGGAGGTCAGGCTCTATTTTCTATTGTAACTATTTCAAAAAGGTCTTGGTGGAAAGACCAGGGTGCAGAAGTGGAATTTTACAGAAGGGAAGAGGATTGCTTGTGACTTATTTGTTATTGGGATGCCAGCCAAGGATCATAAAATGTGGAAATCATCACTGGCTACCTCTGGTGACAGATGTTCTGACTCAGAGAAGAGACCTGCATGGCTGGGGTGTCCTGCACCATGGCCGGCTGCCTCAGACGCTGGCCTGGCCCCACTGTTCCCAGGTTACATGCGGCTCCTGATACAGCCTCCCTCCCCACCCCCAGGTTTATTGAGATATCATTGACATTTAACATGTATAAGTTTAAGGTGTAAAAGTCATGATTTGATACATTTATATGCTGCTAAATTATTACTATGATAAGGCTAGTTAAATCTCCACTCTCAAATAAATATGTAAATACATAAAACACACAAGTTCCTAAGACAGCCCTAATTCTCTAAAGGCAGAAAATGGGGACTCCCTGGTGGTGCAGGGGTTAAAGACAGCGCTATCAAGCTCTTGCCAGCCACTGAGGTTTGATCCCCAGCCAGGGAGCAACCCACATGGTGCAGCAGACCTCTCCTGCCTCACCTGCTGCTCCCCTCAGCAGTGTATTTCAGTGGATCTGCCTGTTCTGCTCCCCACTCTGTCTCTGGTGAATCCTCTCACCCTGCCCCTGCACCTCTGGTTTATATCCCAGTTCTTGTATGCATAAATGAATAAATCTTAAAAAAGAGCAGAAAATGGTTTTATATGTGCATGTGTATATACAAATGTACGTTAAATATGTATACAAATATATATATATAACAATGCTGTTATTTATCTTATAATTGGAAGGTTGAAGCTATAGCCCACTACCTTTATTCTACAGCAAAAGCCATTTTGCTTTGGGAAGTAAAACATTCGAAGATATAGCTAAAGGAAGTCTTTAATCATCATGATGACAACTTATACTTTTCAAAATCTCTAAAATACAAGGACTAAAACACTGCTGGTGGTTGTGTAGCATAATCTGAAAATAATTAAGGCAACAACAAAACTTATTTCCAAGTGCTACTTCAGAGGAGTTTTCTGGAATTAGTTTTGCTCTCTCTCGGTGGTTCCGTCCTATATATTCAGGTCCTCGAAGGGGGGAGGCATGCAAGGGGAGGTGCTGGTGTTTTCTACTCTAACCTAAATGTTTCCTCTTGTTTTTTTCTGTGTTCACCTTCCTGCTCTTCAAGATTTGCTTCTGTCCTTATTTGTTGGTTTTCTCTTTGCAAAAGGCAGGGGTTCAGTGGACATTTTCAGTTTTATCCCATGGCCAAATCTCAACTGCTTATTAAGTCATTTCTGCCCTTTGTATTTGGCTCTTGGAAGTGAAAGTGGATTTTGCTCCTTTTTTTGTGGGGAGTCTTCGATCCTATTACAGTGTCACCGGGTGGGTTGTAAGTCTTTGGAGAGCAGTCTGAAGGGCTTGGGAAATGTCTGCAGGATAAATCTGCAATAATCACAGTTGGTCCTTATGGGGGCCACCCCAGATCATTCCACCCACACAAGCCTGAGGAGCCTCCCAAGAAGACACCTGACAAGATGGTCCTTTCATATGACGGACAGCAAAGCAAGTCACCCTAAGGAAGAACTCAAGTTTCTAGAAGGCAGCATCCTTAGCACCGACCACTCCTGTCTCCTACAGGTCAAATCATAAACACCAA